TTTTTTTTTTTTTTTTTTTTAATTTGGGGTGTTTTAACGGAGAAAGAAAAAGAAGGAAGAGGAGGAGAATGACACCGATCCAGAATCCGCCCACTTCTCACCCCTTCCTCAGCCCCCACCTACCTGATCCGGTCTCATTGCTCATCTGGACCAGTGCAGTAGCCTCCTCTCAGGTCTCCCAGCTTCACCCTTTACCTCCTAGTTTATTTTCCCCATCACAGCCTAAACAACAGTCTAAGAACGCCTGTGAACACCTGAGTGTGGTCACCTCCCTCCTCTGCCTAGATCCCTCCATGGCTCCCACTGTCTTTATAGTAGAAGCCTAAGTCCTACCCAAAGACCACGGGCCCTACACGATTCACCTCCTTCACCTTCCCTTTTCTCTCTCCCTGTATCTCTTCCCCTTGCGCACTAGTCCATCCATACCAGCCTCCTGGCTGTCCCTCGTTCATTTGTCAATTGAATTAAAGAGCGTTTTGAGGGGCGCCTGGGTGGCTTATTTGGTTAAGCATCCCAATTCGGCTCAGGTCACGATCTCCCTGTTTGTGAAATTGAGCCCCATGTCAGGCTCTGTGCTGACAGCTCGGATCCTGGAGCCTGCTTTGGATTCTGTGTCTCCCTCTCTCTCTGCCCCTCCCCCACTCTCTCTCTTTCTTTCTCTCTCTCCCAAATAAATATTGTTTAAAAAAAATTTTTTTTAAAGAATGCTTTGAGGTAGTTCTTTTGCTCCCAATTTACAGATGAGGAAACTGAGGCACACATCTCCCCAAGGCTTTTCTGATCATTTAGGTGTCCATTTAAATGTCACCTCCTCTGAGAGACCTTTCCATGCCCTGTCATATATAAACATGGCCCTGTTTTCTTTATTTAAACTGTCACTCCTCTCCGAAATTGCCCAGCATTTGGCCTAGGCGCACTCCATCTTTGTGGAAAGAGTGAGTGGACACAGTGTGGGGTGTCAGGAAAGTCCCCAGCTCTGGAGCTGGGATGTCTATAGACTTTGCCCTGTCTTCTTCTAATTCTTCAGCGCAACTATTTCACAGATGGAGAGGATGTGGCAAAGCTAGGCTCCAGGCTGGCCCAGGGACTGGGCTACTGTGTCCAGGGATGGGCTTTCTGCTGCCTGCCAGGTCCCAGACTCCCTCCCTGGATAGAGCTGGGGAACCCTGCCAAATTCTCACTCCTAACTCCCAGCATTCATTTATTCAGTGAGTATTTATCGATGCCCGCTGGGGACTTTGGTGGCACTGTAAACAGAGTCGCATGCAGGCTTGAAACAACGAGACCGAGGGACTTACTGTGCAATCTCAATCGAATACGATAACTATACTGGCACGTCCCCGCAGCTGCTCTTGGCCCCTCTCCAGTCTTCTCTGGGGCCTCAGGAACCCTAAATCACACCCCATTCCCCACCTCTGCCTGCTGGACAACCTGTTCCTGGTTCTTTGGAGGCCTTAGGAAACACATCCGCCCCTCACCTGGTCTACAAGGCAGTCTTGTATGGCCTCTGCTCACTTGTCCAGAGGTACCTCCTCCGCTCCCCTCATCCCCATCCAACAGCGCTGGCTTTCCCTCTGTTCCTCAGATATTCTCACTTTACTTCCAACTGCAGGGCCTTTGCACTAGCCAGTGTCTGGAGTGCCCTTTCATCATATCTCCCCAAGACGGGCCTCTTCTGATCATTTAGGTCTCTGTTGAAATGCCACCTCCTTGAGAGACCTTTCCAAGCCCTGTTGTATTTATTATAAAATACAGCCCTATTTTATTTAACTGTCACGCCTCTGAAATTGCCCAGCAGTTGGCCTATTCTCAATGAGTCTTTGCCGAATGAGTGAGTGGACAGGGTGTCGGGTGTCAGGAGAAAGGTATCCCAGGACTACTGTGGAAGAGGCAGAAGGGCTGACATTGAGGGACCAATTAGGAAACTGCAAAGTAGATAAAGAGGAAAAGGGTGTCTGATTGAAGGAACAGCAGGGACAAAGCCCTAGAGGTGGGCGAGGGAGAACCTGGCATGTCCTGACTTCTCCCCCGATCTCCCACTCTGCTCCCCTCGCTCCTGCCCCTCTGGCCATGTGGCCTCCTCACCGCTCCTCAAAACAAAAACCCCGCCTATTCCAACCTCAGGGCCTTTGTACTTGTTGTCTCTCTGCCTGCAATGCTTTCCCTTCTCCGCATTCTCTCTTCTTCACTTCATTTCCATTTTCGCTCAAATGTTGCCTTCTTTTTTTTTTTTTAATTTTTTTAACGTTTATTTATTTTTGAGACAGAGAGAGACAGAGCATGAACAGGGGAGGAGCAGAGAGAGAGGGAGACACAGAATCCGAAACAGGCTCCAGGCTCTGAGCTGTCAGCACAGAGCCCGACGCGGGGCTCGAACTCACGGACCGTGAGATCATGACCTGAGCCGAAGTCGGATGCTCAACCGACCGAGCCACCCAGGCGCCCCTCAAATGTTGCCTTCTTAGAGAAATCCTCCCTGATTGCATCTCTGCCTAAAACAGGCCCCACCCCATCTCTACCAAATTCTTATCCTCAAGCAGCTCAATTTTTCTTCCTTGCAAATTTTAGTAAATACAACTCTATTTTTTTTACTTGTCTGCCTCAACCAGGATGTCAGCTCCCCAAGGATCATTGTCTGTCTTGTCCTCTGCTGAGTCCCTGGCTCCTACAACAGTGTCTAGAGTGTGGAAAGGGCTCAGTAAGTAGCTGCTGGGTGAACAGATGGTTGAACAAACAGAGCATGATGGGGTATGGCTGGAGTTTTTCTTGCTGACGAACCTGAAGTGGGGGGCAGTCTCCAGATGCTGCAGATGGTGGGGATGGAGGGGTTCCAGCACATCTCTGGAGTTCAAGCTTGACCCTGAGGATTGTGGGAGCCACTGACGGATTCTTAGCAGGGGAGGGACTAAGGATTGTTTCTCAAAAGATAAGGCTCTTTGCAAACCAAGTCTCCTCCAGCAGGGGCCAGAAAAAGAGAGGGGAGTAGATTCATCTGGCACCAGAAAGAGTAAACGTATCAACAAGGCTAAACTCAAAAAACCATTGGGTTGGAGGGGGAATTAAAAAAAAAAAAAAAGCAAGCAGAAAAAAAATGATACAATTTGATATTGCTTGTATCCATTACTGAAGAACAGAAAGTGAAACTATGTATCAAGTTTATAACAAACATAGGGGCTAGTGTCCTGTGGTGTGCCAGGCATCCTGGCTCAGGTGAGTGAGGCTACCTGGGCTCAAATCCTGGCAGTGCCCCAGACCAACAGTAAAATTCTGAGCAAGTGACTTCACTGCCCTGTGCTTCAGTTTCTTCGTCTGTAAAAGGGGATGATAATCCACGCAGCCTCATAGGGTTACTGGGAAGCTTAAATGAGTCCATTC